CCGATGCCTAATCAAGCCCAGAGTTCTCAATTCAAGTCTGAAGTTTGTGTCGGACAAATTCACCTTCTTGACAGCCCAGTGGTTCCTAGAGTCGGAAGATTCTGCCCTGTAAACTGTTCCATGTTTGCCTCTTCCGATGATATACTTGTCACTCCATCCTTCTGTAGCACGAATAATATCTTCAATTTTCAAATTCTCAGGTAGATCTTCGGTTCTCGACTGTCTTTCATGGAGAAGAGTTTGATCAAAAGAATGTTTTTTTTGCAGGAGTCTAACCACCAATATATATATCACTGCACAAAGCAATGCCACGGAGACTACCACAGCAGTAATTACACCAGCCAGCACCCTTCCCCTGCTGTTGCCTTTTCTAAGTTCCCGACAATAACCAGCTTCATCTCCTAGCGGGCAAAGTTCTGAGTTTCCGATTAAAGATCCAGGATATGAAGCTATGATCCTCATCCAAGCAGACGGTAATTTTCCTTTGAGGTGATTGAATGATATGTTCACAAAGTAGAGGGAGATCATGTTGTTCATATCTGCTGGTATCTCGCCATAGAAACTGTTGCTCGAGAGATCAAGAATCTGTAGCTTGTCTAGTTTGCCGAGGCATGCAGGTATTTCACCAAAGAGCCTGTTGTTGCTTAAATTAAGAACTGAACTGAAATGGTGAAGGTTACTCAAACTGCATGGGATGGGACCTTGAAGCATGTTACTTCCAAGCTGCAACTCGAATAGGCTTTGAAGGGATGAAAAACAATCAGGAATAATTCCAATGAGTTTGTTCTCTTGAAGTAGAAGGCTCTGCAATTTTGGCAATGATAATATCTCTGAAGAAATACTTCCTGAAAGATAATTGGCACTAAGGTCCAATTTGATAATCTTTTTGCAATGACCCAATTCAGAGGGAATGCTCCCTGTGAGTCTATTAGAAGAAACCCTTAAAATTTGTAGATTCTCAAGCTTCCCAAGCTCTGAAGGTATAGAGCCAGAGAGCCTATTTCGTGAGAAATCAAGCATTGAAAGATTGGTCCAGTGACCAAACACTGAGGGAATCTTTCCTTCAATCAAGTTTCCTTGGACGTCCAGGAAGAAAATTCCAGAGTTCTCTTCCAAATCTGCTGGTATAGGCCCTTGCAAAAGATTGTTTCTAAGGACCACCCTCTTGAGGGATGAGCATTTTCCAATTTCAGTAGGAAAGCTCCCACTGAAACCGTTGTTCCCAAGGGCTAAAACTGAAAAATTACCGCCAGCACATATTCCGGATGGAATTGATCCATTAAGGCGGTTCCCTGATAAGTCCAATCTGACCAGAGCAGGAAAATTTTTCCTGAGCTCAAATTGCACCTCCCCAGTGAGATCATTGTGAGCCAGGGATAGAAATCTCAATTTCTTTAATTGAACAATTTGAGTTGGGATTCCACCAGTCAAACTGTTGTTATACAAAGCCAACTGCGCCAGGTTGCTCATCCTACCAATTCCTTGTGGAATGCGGCCTTCAATATGATTGCTGAACATAAAAAGGACCTCAAGACTTTCGAGATTGCAAATTTCTGGTGGGATCCTTCCTCCAATGAAGTTGTGCTGAAGCCTAAGTTCAACAAGTGAACTGCAGTTTCCAAGCTCAGGAGGTAATGAGCCATTAAGCATGTTGTTAAAGATAAATAAATAAGTTAAACCTGTAAGATTTGCTATTGACTGAGGAATGCGACCAACCAAATTATTACCTGAAAGAGCAATAACCGCTAGCTGATTGCATTGAGCAATCCTCTCAGAAATTGTTCCATTGAGCTTGTTCCCTGAAAGAACTAGCTCTTGTAAGTTTTTGAGACTCCAGAAAGTGTCTGGAATTTCCCCCTCAAGATTGTTTTCATCAAGATACAGAACTTCAAGTTGCAAAAGACCCTTAAAAGTCTCTGGTGGAATGACCCCTCCAAAATTGTTGTAAGATGCTATAAACGTACTAAGGTTGTAGCAGTTTCCCAGGGTATGCGGTAAAGACCCGGAAAATTCATTCTCGTGAATCCAAAGATCTAAAATTCCACATGAAGGTGTGAAATCAGGTAATGAACCGGTGAGGTTATTTGTGTTCAAATAGATGAACTTCAAATTTGGTAAAGAAAACATTCCACTTGGAACCTCTCCACTTAGAAAGTTGTTGTAAAGTCCAATATATTCCAAATTTGTGCAAAGACTTACCTCAGGGGAAATTTCACCAGATAGAGAGTTATAGCCCAAGTCAATCCTTCTAAGCGACTTTGACATGAAAATTTGATGAGGGATTGACCCACCAAAGCCATTATCATTGAGAAGAATGGTATTGAGTTGGCCACAGTTTCCCAGCATTTGAGGTATGTTACCACTGAAACTGTTGCCACTGAGGTCAAGAGAGACCATATACTTATGGAGACAAAGATAAGGGACAGAGTTGTTTAATATACCAGATAGCCCAAAGCCAGATAGATTCAAGGCTCTGACCTGAAAACTCTTCTTGGAGTAGCAAGACACTCCTGCCCATTGGCAATGAGACTTCGGAGAATTGGATTGATTCCAGGGTAACAAACGTTGCGTGTGCTTTGGGAGGCTGTCAAGTAACTGGAGAAGGTAAATTGCAGGTGGAGGTAAAGAGGCCGAAGAAACAAGGAAAATAATGACTGAGAAGATAACATGGTACTGGAAAAACAACAGCATGTTTTTATTCTTCATGTTTTGTGTGGAATCCACTGATGTTTCGATCTTTTTTTTCAGGTTTGCTTTCAAGGGTGATTTGTGAGTGCTTGAAGTGGCAGGCACATGTGCTGAAACAAGTTCCAATACATCTGGTCGTTTCCTCTTGGATTACAATATGTAAACTTGTATGCAAAGAAAAGCTGCTAGAAGGGGAAGGACTAGGTTGAAATCATTCTATTTTAACGAAATAAAATAATGTTGTTGTATAAAGTATTGAGAGGGTCCAGTATGATGGTGTTCTTAGTAGTCGAAAACATTGAGGACACCCCTGCCCCCTCCCTCCCTCGCTCTCACTCTCCCTCACATAATGTATGCAATTATATCTGAACATGTGAGATAATATCTGCATATTTATGTTTGCATATCCTTTCCTATTATTGTGTACCTCAAGTATGATCAAAATAAAAGTTGGACAATATGCATTTTCCAATATGGTGGAAATAAAAGTTAAACACCCTCAGTCCTATAACTTATTAGTGAGTTACCATCTGAGCCCCGATGCCTTGGTTGTTAATCAAGCAACAGAAAACCCATCATTACTCTCCAAACCTTTATGACCTATGAATAATCATGGGTCACGTCAGATATCAATCTCCATATATTGTTTCTTAAATTCCAAGACACTAGCATATCTCAATTTGAAAAGTAGACCATACTCTCTTGAGTCCTTTCACAATATAGAGAAACGCCTCTCAGCGGCGCAGAGAGTTGGGAGAAATGGGCCTGAAAGTCTGCTCTTATCAGGCCGTATCACCAGGTGCACAAGAGTCCTGTACTACCTACTACTTTTGGATCCCATCTGCTTCTGGTGTAAAATAGCCGAAGTCCGCCCAAATATGTTAAAATAGGCCAATTATATGGGCTTTGCTCTGTTCCGAAAACAGGAAAGACAACAAAAGCACTTGTATCTTTAGTCTGCTACTTTACGAAAGGCTCATGGGGCCTCTAGGCTTGACCCAAAAGTATTCGGTTTCCGCTTTGCGGAAACTTACCAAAGTTTGGACACACCCAACTCTTCTCACAGTCTTAGGTCTAAAGTTTTTCCAATCTAAAAATAGGAAAAGGGGAATGGTCCCGACAAGTTTTGGTAAGCAATGAAAAGAGAGGAAATAATAATAGAAAAAAACACTACACTCACCAAGCCCCAAAGATAATAGTATTCTAATTTCTGGAATCTATTTGTTTGAGGAGGTGGAAAGTGGCAGGACCACGTGGTCCCTTCGGGAGGACAAACCCCATGTCCCAACCACATGGCTCTCAAATGCCAAAATGTATATACTACTACTAATTTAAAACACAGAAAAATCCCATAAGCCTTGCTATCTTTGACTACAAATCAAGAATGGTAGAATGATTAATAGCTCTGAATTTCTTTTGTTTCCTTGGCGGTGGTAGCTTGGAAATTGATCAATCAAACAACCAAAGGTCCATACCGTCCTTATTCTGTTGTTCCTTGCTGGAGAGACATGTCTCCCACACACCATCTTCACGTACAATTGTATGCAACAGATGGACTTTTCCCCACATGATTTAACCAAACATTAACAAGAGAAAAAGTGTTTGATTAGCGTAAAGAATTCGAACCATTCCATTAAAGGTATAAACTGAATATTTCTCTCTTAAATAAGCTCACAGCAGAGTTGAACACAGTTTGGTTTGCCTGGAAAACGATTTCACAGCCATTACTACACAACTAGAGATATGGACAGAATCTGGTTTGTTTAGTTAGGGCAGCACAGTGACAAGTCAGGATTTTTTGTTTGTTGTTTCATCATTCAAGGTCAAAAAAAGGTAATCCACCATGTAACTTGGTTTATTTCACAAAGAAATTAGAAAGATGAGAGTTGTGTGGTACCACCCCATTACCAACAGCTAGCATTTATTTATAGTATTTGTCTGCTACTTGGAGAGGATAGAGGGCAATCAAGATCCAAAATTGAAAGAAATGTTACAACTCACAACTACTAGTAGTAGTTTGTAACTTAGTGAAAGTGGAAGGATTTTGCTTTGAAACTTAGGACGGAGGGGGAAGAGAGGTGGGTTGGTTGTTTTGATTGCATGTGATGGGGACAGCCCATTCTCCTCTCCAGCTGTCTGCCGCCAACCCTCCTTTAATTTTGCCTTCTCTCTCGTTCATCAATGCATTCTCTTGTTTTATCTTCCCTTTTGACTCTTTCGGAGTACGTCTTCCCCCACTACGGCACCACGCAATGCTTTGTTCCTTTCCTTGGGAACCCCCGTACTTCAAAACTCTCTCTCCTTGCCTTTTCATTTTCCTTTTTCGCCAGTTTTTGGGATACAATCGAATCATGTCTAAACCATTCAACATTTCTTCTGCAAAGCCTTTTATGAAATTTATCAGACGTTGGAGCTGTAACAAGTAATGTCACATGTTCATCTTAGAAGCTGAAAAAAGGGGTACTACTGTTACAGGAACACATAGATGTTACTATACCTAATAACTCATTCTTTATAACTGTTGCAATATTCTTTAAGATTAGGTACTAATTATATATAAAAAATTATTTAATTTAAAATAAAAAAATTAGTAAATATAATATAAAAATAAAAATTTATTGAGTTTATGAAAATATATAAAAAAAAAACAAATCAAGGAAAAATGTGGTGGTTTTAGTGATAGATATTTTGGGCGAGATGAAATTATCTCTTTGCGATTCAAAAAGTCCCCCACATGACATCGCGTCTAGTCACATCTCATCCAAAACTATAGCGAAAACCACATGGAGATTCATACCACACTCGACCAAGCCCCTTTAACCAACACTCGCCCTGTCAGACCGCCAGCACTGCAAAGCCTCGAATCACTCGCCACTAGGCGAGTCGTTGAAACATAGTTAACGGAGTAACACACGTCTTCTCCAATGGCCCCAATAGCGTTTGCAACTCCCGAGGCTGCACACGTGACTCCAGCTATGATCATCCTCACAAACCTTACGCCGTAGGCCCAATATCACCTGTATATTCTGGCCCATACCCTACTCTTTTGCACGCCCCACTGTTTTTGGTCTTGGTTTTTCCCGAGCGAGTCCTTGTATCGTTATTTCAAACGTTGGCTTGTACAGGAAAACAAAAGTAGATTCAGGGCAAAACTCTAATTCACTTGACAACATTACAAGAGGAAACAGTTAATAGCCATGGAGGCTCTATTTAGGCCTAGTGTGTGTTTCGTACCTTGAAAGGACTTCTCATTCTCTTCTTCTTATTGTTTTGATGACCATCAATAAATACGTTTGTCCTAGCTACAGCTAGCTTCGTTCACGTGTTAAGCAATGAGATTTTGACAAAGAAACTTTCATTTTTGGTACAATTGGCATTCTTTGTCCACTCTTTCCCCTTTATATTCCTCTCAATGCCAATCCTCTTTCATCTCTAACGAATTCACCCACTGCTGAGAACTTTGATCAAACATTTCGAGACTGTAGGGATATCATGCACAATAATAAGGGCTGTGATGGGAATTACTTACTAATCAAGTGAAGTTGTTTTAAGACAACGAAAAATTCAGTAGATGAAAGAAGAGAGAATGATAAAATTAGAGGAGAGAGCAGTGTCACCGTTCAATCAAATCATGGCCTCTGACTTCATTAAAAAATTTAAATGAGAAGTGTTGACTCGTCAAGCTTGAAGCAAAGCAAAGTATTGCACAGGGGTGGGTGTTATGGAAGGTTTGGGTGCCCAAATCCTGTCGGGTTTGGGTTCCAAGTGATATAATATAGAAAGAAATGGAATGGTTTAGTAGCGCGTGTAGCTTTGCAGCATGAGAATAATAGATGCCAAATAATGAGATGAAGTGAGTGAGAGAGAGAAAGAATCGCTTTTACTAGTTTGTCTACTACCGTGGTGCGAATGTGGAAGCATGGACAGCAAGCGAAGGCCGAGAAGCCGGCAACCCATCCCTATATCTGAATCCAAAATCCACATCAACCCACACCACACTACTCAAAAATTCACATCCCCTAGTCATGTAGAGACAGAGGTTGCTAGTTTCAAAAAGATTTATAGGAAGAGGTCTCTTTGAAGAGGAAAAAAGAAAAAAGATAAGCATTCAGCATAACCTTCGCTTTAAATTTCTCCTTTTTCCCCACTATCTGCCAGATTCAAAAAAGGGTATAGAGTTGGAGGTAGTTAAGACTAAAGAGGCTCTCTTTCAAATTAGGGGGGGTTGTGGCTTATTTGATGGAAAAGGCAATTTCCCAATAGGGAAATGTGATTCATGATGAACATGGCGTGCTATAGCGTTTCAGACAAGGCAGCCAAAGAGAGTAGTAGGATTGAAGCTGTTGATTTGGGTGTGAAGCTGCAAAGTAGTAAATTATTGCTTCCTGGGAAGATGATGACGGTTCACCATGATAATCGTCACCGTCCATTCCACCTTATGCAATTTGTTATGGTGATGTTGATGGTGATGGTCCCACAGGTAACAACAACAGGCCTAAGACCAGAAATATATACGATGTTTTTCCAAGCAGTGATTCTGGTGCTGCTGCTGTTGCTGCTATTGCTAGTGGTGGTGCAGTTGTGTAAGGACTCTGCAGCTTTTGACATTGCCCTCCACTACACCCTTGTGCTCACACGCCTACAAGTCCCCAGTTAGAAATTTCCTTCTTTTCCTCACCAGTCAGTGCAAAGTGTATCATGTCTCTTCTGTTCTTAACCCTCTCTTTCCCTTCCTTCTTCCTCCCTGTCCTCTCTGAAAAATTACACATCTTTACTAATTCATTTCAGAAAAAAAAAAAGAGAAAATTTTCTTCTTTATTCAGTGAGCAAGGCAGAGAGAGAGAGAGACAAGAGTAAAGTTTTGTCTGTTCGACTGAGACAGACACTGTGGATGTTTGATTTTTGTAACAGGAGGGATGGCGGCATCTTTGGAGTTTCCTTTTACAAATGCACAGTGGCAGGAGCTTGAGAGACAAGCTATGATATTCAAGTACATGAAGGCTTCTGTTCCTGTGCCACCTGATCTGCTTATTCCCATCACGGGAAGCCCCTCAGTTCCAGTTGCTTCCAACTCTGCTTGTAATCCCCCTTCTTTCTATTTAGCTTTCTATTCCTCAATCTGTCATTTTTTACTGATGGGATGGCTTATATGAATGAGGAAATTTGTCCCTTGTTTGGTTGACTGAATATTCGCTATGGTTTGCTTCTATCTATGCCAAGAGATCGTAAAGAACTAACAAAGTAAATTTCTTGTTTTGCTCTGGCAGTGGGCGGAGGTGCTCTAATCTGAGGTTCTCGACCAGGGGGATCTTGAGCCAGGGAGGTGCAGGAGAACAGATGGAAAAAAATGGAGGTGCTCTAGAGATGTGGGCCTGACCAAAAGTATTGTGAGCGTCACATGCATAGAGGTCGTCCCCGTTCAAGAAAGCCTGTGGAACTTCCTAACAAGAAGACCCGTCATACACATACCCAAGCTCTTCCTTCATCTTCTTCCACTATTACTAAGGATCTCTCCATCACAGTTTCTTGGAACTCTTGCTCAGCCCTTCCGTCAGAATCAGACCACTTGTTTCTTGATAAGCCAGGTAAAAAGCTGCAACATTTGGCCCGTCCTCTGTTTCTTCGTACAAGAGACCTAGGTGAGTTGAAGCTTTCTTCCCATTTCTCTGATTACCCCCAACCCCACCCCCCCCCCCCCCAACAAGAAAAAAAAAAGATCTTTGTGTGTTTTGAGTTTTGATTATACTTTTCCGTCTCTAATTTTGATAATCTTTCTTTTCTCATTGAAGGAACTCGGACTGGATTGTGAGTGAAGAACTCAGTCCTTGGTGCCATCTGACAACGGTGGCATTATCTCATGCAAATAGTACAACTTCTGCCAGATCTTTCTCCAATGCTGATAACTCATCTGTTCTCACCAAAACTACAGTAAGGAACCTCTGAACTTAAATTCATATGCAAATTTCAATGCTACAGAAGATCAACAAAGCAACCGTTGCCCTTTGTTTCTCAATTCTGAATATTTCCGCTAGAGAAGTCCCAGAAATTGCTGCAAGAGGTTTTATTGATGCGTGGTCTACTGGGTATCAGATAACCGCAATGCCAACTCAGGAACTGCAACCTCTGTTTCCTCTAATGGAAAACTCTCTCTTTCATCACTTTCTCTCTCGATGGAGTCATTGACATGAGGGATGAAGGTGGGCCCTATTCGTATGGGATTGGGAGTGACTGAGTCTGATCAGAACCATCAATATGCTTCAAATCACATCTTTCAAGTTGGTTAGGCCCTGCCTCTTGGGCTACTTCCACACCTGGAGGCCCACTAGCAGAAGTATTAAGGCCTAGAAAGATCGCCAGCGCCGTCGCAACCACGGAAGGCGGCTCTAATCCACCATCTCCCGTTACTGGAAATGGAAATTCTTGTAGTCCACCGGTGACTGCAGTGTCTTCACCATCTGGTGTTTTACAAAGAACCCTTGCTTCGTTTTCTGATAGCAGTGGTAGCAGCAGCCCAACACTGGCCAGTTCAGGGGCCAAACCTGAGATAGGTTCGACGTGGCTTAAAGGAAATTAGCATATCGTCTTGTTGGAATTGAAGCCAAGAATTTACTAGAAACGAATATGTTTTTTTTTTTGGTGTTCTTGAATTGGTTACTTCGTTGTTGGTTTATGATGTTTATCCTTATTAGGTTGTGTAATTGTGCAATAGCAGCGGTTTTTTAAGAACTTGTTATATAGATTTTGTGAACTGCAAAGAAGAAAATCTGTCTGAAAATGTTCTTTGACTTGAATCATGGAAGCTTATAGCATACTGATTCGTAGATCTTTGCGAAGCGGGCAAGAAAAAGGTACTATTTGGTTAGTGTATGATTTTCCTGCTAGTATGGTAGAGTCCGACGTGGAAGAAACAATACCTACTTTAGACTCCATGAAAGTGTGATTGTTGTCTGTTGAATTTAAACATGGAAAGTTTGAAGCATTGTATGTTTGTTCTTTAGTTAGTGTTGCAATTATTCTCATTTTTCACCTTACTTCTATCATCCTTGACAAGAAGACGAAAGTCAAGTTTGAAATAAAAGATAAAAGGACAAAGGAATTTTAATGGAAAGGTGGTTTAGCTTTTATTGAATATATTAAAAAAAAAAAAGCACCCTTATGTTTGAAGTTAACAGTCAAGGCGTGCTTGAAGCTCCTTCTCCCTTATTGAAGAAGAGAAGGGCCAGTGGCCCGCCTTATGGATGGCTAATGATCTTCTCCGTAGCTTGAGTCAGCCACAGCTTGTCAGTTGTCATCTTGTGGTTTTTGACATGTTCATCGCTAAGATATGCAGTTAAGCAGTCCATTACAACTTAAAACGAGCTGACAAGACCTCAGGAATTGCGATCTAAAAAGGCTGTCCATTTTTTACAATTCTTAAATGGAAGAAGAAAGGCAGCCCCAGACAGGCAACAAATACAAAGAGCAGAAGGTGAAGCCATGTAGACATTTAGATTCAGGAAAGCCCTTTTGGATGTTTATGATCGTTCATTATTCTCTATTTCTATCAACTGATTCAACTCACAGAAAGCACAGCTGATGCTAAAATAGTTCGACTAAGTGGCTCATGTTCATGATCAGCTAAAGTTGAGTATCTGGCGGTTATTAAATCTAGATATTGGAGCCAGCCAGACTACACGTTTGGGGTCGGAGTTAACGTCTAAGGCCCAATAACCATCCCACACCCCTAGGAGAGCCCTTGGGGCGGGATAAATACTGATAAGCCTGATGGCTTATGGTTTCCCTTGCTCGTTGCTGGTTGTCAATGGCCTCATGGCCCGCATCCAGAGATACTGTTTAAGTAGCAAGTCTACCCCTTTAACATTTTGATTTCGTTTACGCTTTTTATTACTGTTGTCTGGTTAGGGTTGTGCTTATTTTTAAGAAATTTGTCCCAAATGAACCTGATCTTTTTCATTATAAAGTTCTGTACCTTCTGTTTCAAAAGCCTTATCTCAAGGGTGCGTCCATAGCTGTTCTGCGTAATCTGGGATACGGATGACATATAATTCCAAATCAACCAAGACATGCTTGGTCCTCACTTTCATATGACTAAAGGCTGACTCAATTCTGCAGGGAGAATCTCTGGCAACTCGGTTAAAGATACATGGAGTAAACAATCGCCCATAGCAACTAGCAAGAGCCAAGACTCTGGACTTATGCTGTACCTAGGTCTCACTCGATGAATAAAGAACAATTTTGAAGACAAGAGTAATATGTTGCTATGCAGGACCAGTAAAAAATTTAAAAATTGCCATGTGGGCAAAATTTTAAGGGTTTGACGACCGTTAATATTTTTTGTACTGAAAATGAGGGTTCCAAAATGTTTCTGTAAGACTGACATTGGTTGTTTAGTTCTCTTAAGTGGTCCAGTGAGTTTGCTTGATGAATTTGCTAATAATTATTTATGATAATAGCGGCGTTAATCATAATTTACAAATACCAACATACTTCTCGAGACACTGCATGTCACAATTGACTCCCATATTCTACATGCGGTTCTAGGCCTAGCTTTCTCAATTGGAATAAAAATCATCATCAGCTTTGCATGCCCTTACTTGTCCATCACCTCAAGCAATGCAGCACTCGCTTGGTTTTACCTCAACCACTTCCTAAGATCATTTGTTGAAGGTGGAAAGATTTCTTCGCCAAGACTATCTGCATAACAAGAAGACAAGTTGGATTTCTGCTCCATGCCAAAATGGATTCCATGACCGCTTTTATAGCTTGGACTCCCCGAGTTATAATCATAAATTTGATCTTTGCTCCCGTCGACACCAAATTGGTCAGGAACTGGAAATGATAGACGTTTTTTGGCAGATCCCACTATTTCCCTTTCTGGGTTTGAAGGCCTCTGCTTTGGCGCACTTTGAGAGCGGAAACGAGCCATAGCAGATGCTGTAGCAGCCATATAGTTAGGCATTGGTGCAGCAGCCCCGGCATTACCACTCATTCTATGGGTGTAGGATCCTGAGTTTGGTGTGTGAGGTGATGGGTGGCTCTTCTCTTCTTTGAGGTAGCGAGGGCTAGCTGAGTACATTTGGAGAGGCTTTGCTTTTGATGGAGATGGCGTGACTGAGCGAATGGGGAGACTATTGTTGGCTTTGTGGAGAGGGGATGTGACAAAGTATGAACTCGGCCTTTGTAGTTGGTGGTGATATTGACGATTTGATTTTTGGGAATGGGGGGCTGAGTAAGAGTAAGGTCTAAAGGTGTCAATTTCAACAGTTTTTATGGGATCTATGTGGTCACACGACATTCTGCCTGTACTCTCCCATTGCTTCCTTGTTGTCCACCGATCAACCCATCCGGTGTTCCCATCAAGCTCTTCCTCACTTTCGACAGCGCCTCTGTCAGTTCTCCAAATCTTTTCATAAAACAGATGCAAAAAACACGATTTCATTAGTTCTTTCATGAATTTAGCAATGAACATTGCAGTCGTGTAAAGACAGGTCAGAGACTGAAACATCAATCGAAACCTGGTGAGAGAGGGCATGAGCAAGATCCTTTTCACGTTTCAAGGCAGCTTCTTTCGTTGTCTGCAAAATGGCTTGAATCTCCTCCAATGTTTTCGGGTGCTCGTCCCAACGGATCCAGTCATCGACATTGCCGCTTTCTTCTCTAGACTGCATTACAACTTACAAAGGCCAATAAAAAAAACACAACAGGTTGTTGCCAGTTGAAGCTTAACACAAGTCATCTTTAATAAGTATTTCTTACAATGGACTTCCTGTCTACAAGATGCGAGCTCCATAAGCTGTTGGGATGTCTGAATACGGAATCCGAGCTTCCTTCATGCGCGGAAAGCCTCTTACGCTGATCACGCACGCGGGCTTGCACTCGAACCATAGCCTCCATGCATCTAAGAGTAATATTCGCTCGCTTTCGAACATTGTGGCCTCTCACTAAGGCTTGCAGCTTCACCAGCCCCTTGAGTGCCCGAAGAGCTCTCCTTGCCTTCAAAACCATGACTATTGCTTATTCCAAATATCTTTGCTTATAACAGCAATTTAAAGTGCAGGGAACAAACTCATTTACTATATCGTTACCAGATATCCTCTGAAACCTGTCTGTATAACAATGGCAGCAAAGTGTTCTCTGACGAAAATGGAAGGCCTCGTGAGGCGAACAACTTCTACAGCTGCTTGGGCCGTTGCTACTGCCGCTTGAGCAGCTGCTGCAGTGGCTATAGCCACGGCGATGGCATGTCTTTGCTCGGCTTCAGCAGCTTCAGGAATAGTATTAAGAACTGAGCTTTCAGAATTGGTGATCGCTTTAGCATTATTAGCAGTTGTGGTTATGGTCCTTGCTTCACTGTGTTGTATAACTGTTTCCTGATATGAAGGCTTCTTGAAAATCCATCTTCTTTTTCCTCTTTTCTGCGCAAATCAACCGCGAAAAAAAAATTGATTTGAAGTTTATCACATGCACATGACATTCAAGAAAACGTAAAAAGCAAAAGTTAAAAAGAATTAACCTTCTCTTCTTCCTCTTGTTCGTTATCTTCTCGCCTTCTACAGCTCCTCTTCTCATTTTCCTTGGTAGGAGACCTAAAAGCTTTCTTGACTGCAGTCAACCAAGAGTTTCCTCCAATCTTCCCCATCGAAGAGTTGACACAGAAAGCAAAGCTAAACTGAGCTAGCTTACATATAATGCAGAATATAACTAAAGAAGTGCTTTATTTCATAGCCTCATATAGGAGCTTCTCCACGTGGAGGAGTAGTTGGTATCTTTAAATGCAAAAGTCTCAGAAATATAAATGAAAGGAAAGGAACAAAATTATGTTGGCTGCAACTGGGCAGAGGCGGAGAGCTAGCTAGTCCTTGCATTTGGGAACAGACGTTGCATTATATAATATAAATTAAGCTTTGTAACGTTAATGTGAACAGTATATAATGCTAGAAGATATGGTGTTTTCTTGTGGCGTGCAGAACACTAATGGAGTTCTGTGTCAGGCAGTTTCAGACAACATGAAAAAGTGAGTACTCTCGATAACGCTGAAAGTTGAATGGAGAGTAGATAGTGCAAGAGGCTAAGCTTTTTTGGCTTTCATGTTTCTCAAGGAGACTCTCTTTCAGCTGTAAAAACGACCAAGGATCTCTCACGGCTCTTTCACGTGTTAGGAAGTGCCACCACTGACATCGATATAATAATGCTTTTTGGGAAATTGCTTCACTATATAATTTCCTGTAAATAGGTTGGATAATGTTTAGTTTAACCCAGCTTTCCATGATCACCAGTCCGTACGAAACGCGTGGGAATTCATGGCTATATTGGTAATCTCAAGCAGTTCACGGTGGACATTGATCGTCTGAGGTGGTATGTTGGGATTGGTTGAAGTCGCAGGAGAAAAAACCCTTCATCACAGAGGAAAAGGATACAGGATAGAAGACAGAGACTGCTCCGGGGGAAGACCAGTCAAAGCCTTGACCTCTTTATTTTGGGAGCCTCTTTATTAATTGGGAATACGCTCCACGTCCGATTCTCAGAAAATGTATGGCTGCCTTGTATAAACTTCCTCGGATTCGCATTTTAGTGGTCCTGCCATACAGTCACTAATTCATGACAGCTTTCACTTCCCTATACACTCGCTCGTTCAGGGTAATGCCAAAAATGCTTGCAACATGTCAGCAGACCAGCTTCGACAGGAAGAGGGGGGGAAAGGAAACGTCTTGATTCATCACGTAGGAACATTCCACAAACAACGTACAAAACAAATATCATATCTAATGTTTAAGTTACTATTATTATCCTTAATTAGTAGCTAGCATTTTGATAATTTATGACGAGATTAGAGTGATCAGACATTTCCAAAAGGAATCGTAGTACTCGCAGGTATGCTGAAACCCCTTATTAGATAATCCAAATGTACGATCACATGCGATGAAATGTCTTTTGCATTAAAGAAATGTAATTATCGCATGCTTCTCCAATAATGGAAACATTTTTCTTTATTGGAATAAAGAACGACTTGAACATTAGGCAGCCTATTTTGATAGGTCGTTAATGGTTACGTTACTCTTTTTTTTCCCCTTTCTCTTTCTTTCGGTTCTTTTATTCGGGGGCAGGGGCAGGGACAGGAAGCGCCAGAAAGAATTTTGAAGGATTTTAGAGACAATATTATTTTCTTTTTCCAGACTCTTGTCCTCTCTTTGCTCTTTTCAGCTTTTCAAAGAAGGGGTCGAGATTCTCTAACGGAAGCAAAAGCAAAAGCAAAAGCAAAAGAAAATCAGGCAGACTTGTTAGCACTTAGGTTGCAAATAGTACTATGTTTTTGTAGAATCTAACGTAAGGTCTCCTTAAAGAACCAAGCAAAATGCAATGGCTTATCTGAGAAGGGAAAAAAAGGAGATGGAGAGAGACAAAAAAGAAAACAAAATCTAACAGGGTCAATGTAGAAATATCCTTTTCTTGCCGGCTAAGATGCAAATCCTGGATCTTTCCGGATAGACTAGAAAGCCCGAATATGTTCCAAGTGACGACAGGTCCAAGTGTTGGGTCCAGAACGTTCGCAACCTTACTCAAACTTTCAAGATCCCTCTACGGACTACTCCTGTTTTATGCCATGCACAGAGCAGAGTCTTTCTTTCTAGGTCTATATATATTCATCGTCCCCCTTCCCACCCACGCAAGATCAAAGAACTAGACATTGGCAGTACAGCAAGCTCTCTTTATTATTTAGACACTTATCTCTCAAAGTCCTCTACAACTAATACTTTTTCTCTTATAACAATGGCTTCTACTTTGTCTTGGTCGTCTTCACCATTGGTATCAAACAGGGCCAAACCCTGTTCCCCTGAAGCTAAAATTCCACGCTCTGTATCTTTTCCGTCCAGGAATGCTAGCTGCAGCCGGCTGTCTGTTGTAAGAGCAGAGGCTGCTGGGGATAACAAAGATACGTCAGTGGACGTGCACGTCAACAAAAACAATCAGGGGAGAGCTGTTGAGAAGAGACCTAAAAGGTTGGCTGTGGATGTCTCTCCTTTTGGTAAGTATTCAGTTCTTCCGCACTAATTCGAAGACTGTTTTTTCCTAAGCAGTCGCTCCACATATGTTCGTGATATCTGAATCGTGAATATGGCTGTTATGGTGATTGATGAGTTTTGCTATTAAAATTGAAACATAATGTCTAGGAAGGGGCTCGCTTAAAGAAGTTAATGATTCTGTTGTAACCAAAACTGATAGGCGTCTGTACTTAGAAGCTATTGCGCTTGCGACCGTCTTTAACCTTAACAAACTCTTTAGTTCGAAGTTATTGCACTTCCCCTGTTTTTCACCCTTGGCTTGCGAGCAGTAGTGCTTCTCTCTTTTAATTGCATGTGGAAAAGGCTTTGATTGTTTTCTTTTTCAGATTTTTTGGCCAATTTCATCTTTAATCATTAAGAATAGCTTAACATAATTTACCGGTGACAGGCTTGTTAGACCCTTGGTCTCCTATGAGATCAATGCGACAAATGCTAGACACAATGGACCGGATATTCGAGGATGCCATGTCATTGCCTGGCAGGAGCCGGTCAGGAGGAGAGGTGCGTGCACCTTGGGACATCAAAGATGATGAGAATGAGATCAAAATGCGATTTGACATGCCAGGATTTGCAAAAGAGGATGTTAAGGTCTCTGTAGCTGACGACATTCTAGTTATCAAGGGAGAGCATAAAAAGGAAGAAGGTGGAGATGATTCTTGGACGAATAGGAGCTACAGTTCCTATGACACTCGTCTCCAACTCCCAGACAACTGTGAGAAGGATAAGATCAAGGCAGAGCTCAAGAACGGAGTTCTCTTCATCTCCATTCCTAAGACAAAGGTTGAGCGCAAGGTTGTTGATGTAGATGTTCAGTAAAAGGCTTTGCGGGTTACGAGAGGGTGCCTTTGTTCTTATCTTATGCGATCTTAAATTTTGTGTGAACGTCTCTGTAATTGTAAGTGTACGTATATACTAATGGAAAATATGATGTTTTTCCTTTGAAACCATTTATCGATGTTTTATTCCCTTTGGAAATGCGTAGCCTTAGTCATTTAGTTTATGTGCTTATCAACCAATTGCCGGTTCAAGTCCCAATTTATGACACCGTAAATAGATTTAACGAAGAATAAGTTTTTGTGATTGAAAAAGAATAACCCTATCCCCTGCTACGGACATGTTCCATCGACCCTGGGTTTTCGTAATCTAATTTTCGCTATTTCTCAAGGCACCAAATAGATATTGACTAATTTCCTACTTTCCTAAGTTTTCTGCTGAATTTTTATCCAAGTTCATAGGTAAATGTAAATAAAAAAAAATTGAATACATGAAAAACCCGGTCCGGTGGTGATTAGACCTCTGAACATGAAGTTACGTTCTAATTCTTATGCTTCTGGGCATTGGACAAAGCCTAACAACTAGAAAAGAGATCAGAAAATCATTGTTCATTCTTGCTCTACAACATCAGAGTCAGAAGAATCATGCTGCTCTGAAAGCCAATGAAAGTGATACTCTGTATGTGCTACAGTTTCTTTTCATTTCAGCAATTCCATTTACATCATTCTGTTTTTTCAAGAAGCATGTATATTGCGCTGAAGTTCAGACTTAGAGAAACAACAGAAAAACTTTAGTTACTCTATTAACAACTACTCGTTGTCTTCCGAGATAGATTCGAGCTTTGGCTTCCAATTTCTAGGAGATACAACAAAATTACCATTCCTTTTCTCAAGCCCTGCAATAACCTCCTCTACCGATATTTGCTTTGTCAGCAATTGCTGAAGCTCTTGCTTTGTTATAACAACTTTTATTCTCTTGACACCCCCGGTTTGTTGTGTACCAGCCACGGATGAAATTCTTTCAGGAGTTGGAGCTCCGATGGGGTCTACTGAAGGAAGAATGTAGTAAACCTTTCCCATCTTCAACTCATAGTCAAGCGGGAGATGCTGCGTAATCGTCTTTGATAAACCAATACCGGAGCCAGAGACTTTCACCAAGACATCTCTAACAAGAATTGGTGCTCTGAACTCTAGTATCTTCCCATCAATCTTCACCACCTGCAAAACTTTCTCATGCTTGGCGTTAACAGCTCCCAGGCAAGAACTTTCACTCGGTCTACGAAGAGCCCAACAATTACCCATTTAGCTGGAAAAGATTAGAGCCAGGAAGAGATATGGCCTAGGAACTATGGGGTCCTATTAGCAAGAGAGAGAGCTAATAATATATGAGACAAAGAGAGTTTGTTGATTGTTGTATAAGGAGCAGAGGTAACATATATTTAAAGAAACATTAAACAAATATTGGGTTTGTTTTGCATTGAGTGGAGTAGTAGAAAGCTATCTTTCCGTCGAGATAAGCACCTTAAATTACGTCTATGGCTGCCCTAAAATATTAGTACTAGTGTTATGGTAACAAAATTTTTTTGTCTAAAAAAATGGGAACTTATAAAATTGTCAACACGCATGCAAAGAGCGTCGGTTAGTGGAAGGTGGCGCATTGGCATTGCACATCCATCATCCACCTTTGCGCATTGGCCCTTGGCTCTGTAGGAGCCCAATAGTGTCCATGTCACATAGACTTCAAGTACCGTCTATCAACTGTATGACTGAACAAATGGCACAATATAATTGGTTGGTACAAAAATTGGTCAATTAAAAAGGATTGCCACCGAGGAGTATTGGGCAGCCCAAATCTTCATGGTCACTTGGCCAGATTTGTGAAGGCAAGATATTAATTCTTGATATTTATACACCTACATAGTGGTTCGTTATCGACCAACACTTTCATCCCCCCTTTTTTTTATCTCTTTCTTTAAAAGAAATTTGTACTTTGCATTATTACATCATCCTTAGGGTTTGGTGATGTCAATGAAGCATAAGTAACATAGGACGAATAAAAAGACTACTTGGATAATTTATAGAATTCAGTTAGAGTGGGGGCTTATTAATTTCAATGGAAGCATTTGGCACGACTCTCTGATTACTGATCCATGGGACCATTTCTCGGCACCTAAAACATATTCAATACTCTCAAGTTGAGGGACAATTTCGATATAAATAGGGTAGTGGGTTCCGAATCGGATGCATAGACCTCTTGCGAACTTTGGAGCTTCATTCTTTCTTCTTTTTAATTATTCTTACTTGCTATGTAAATTGCCTACCTAGCTACTAAATTTTCACTCCTAACAAAACCTTAGTATTGCTTTTTAGGTGTTCGTAGGCAATGTTGGTTCCTCCACTGGGAAAACGTCATCATCGGGTTGAGACAAAAGCAAGAGGAGACTTTGACAGACCTGGTCATTCTGGTCTTATTAAAATTTGAAATTTATTAAGGACTAACGTTCAAGTTCCAACGAACCTAGCTAAACCTACAATCAGCTGGCTTAACGGAAACTAACAAAAGGGGCGACCTTTAGCCCATACCAAAGGGTTAGTAAATCCAAACGAAGGAATGCGTGAAACGTGTTGCAACTACTGAATTTCCAATGTTAAAGTTTGAAGTATTTCCGCCTCGACTCCTTTTGGAGGCAGTTTTGTTCCGATTAGGTAGGCCCGAGGAGACAGAGCATGGGCCCTATATGTTCACAGATGGAGAAGCCTATTGGCTGTTGGTGCACCATTCCATTTTTTGGAGTTCTCGCTCTAGCGCCATCCATCTCGCTCTAGCGTATCATCCCCACTAAGCTAAATAAATCATGATTTATAGTGGCCTTTCCTTGGTAAGTTCAATGGCTTGATATTTTTTATTGTTTAATGGGGTCCGTTCGCTTCTCTTTTCGCTTCTTGGTTTTGACCTTTTGAAGCAGCCACCTTCTGCACCATCGGGGCTTGTTCCTAATGGGTTGTTAAGACTTGAGAGGCGATAGTCCAGCGCAAACTGCAAAGCTCCTACTAAAAAGGCAATATAATTCCTTGCCTTTAATCATGAATTTGTAACTTAATTAAAGCAAATGCGGACAAGCTTAATGGTTCAGACAACACTAAAAGGACCAGGTAGACTCTTTCCTTGTTTTGTCGTTTCGACTGGAATGCTGGGCTAAGAAGGTGGGAGTTGGGGCCCATATTTGGGAAGAGAAACTCACCCTGTAAACAATTGTGAACTGGGCTTAAACTAGATTGGTCAGTGTTCAGCTGACTTCGGGTTTTGCTGCATCCTTGCGGTTACAGATTCGGGTAATGGAATGCAACAAGACAAGAGTGGAATTAAGGAACAGAGGGTTGTTCGGGCTGTCGGCCTATTTGAGCAAGAAAGGCTCTCAAGTCCTGATCCGGGGGGAAAATGCACCCAATTTCTCTTTAAACTATTTGATTTACGATTTGGTCCGTACCAATTATTTGGTGCGGAAACAGTGAAACATACGCTAGTAAAGAGACCATTGGAAACACTAGGTAAGGTAGATGAAGCCCAAACCTTTCCAGGAAAGCGGTCGGCTGACCATGAATTATGTTAAAAGCTTTAACAAAAGCCCTAAATATATAGACATAGACATGATTTATCAAATGAAATTAATGGTAATCAAATTGAAATGGAATTTGATAATCGAATATGGTTATTCACGAAGTCATGGTAATAAACTTGAAATGCATAATATTATTGGAGAAAAGACTAGAGAGTCAATGTGTAGTTGTTTATACTCCTAAGGATCATAGAAAATTAAACAACGGTTTGTCCCATACAACAAAACCAAATGGGAAGCACGTTTCTTCTATCAGCAATAGGAAATATTAAGGGATGATTTTTTTTAGCCTTCAAAGATAAAGGTGCTCTTGAAAACAATTTTCCTTTTAATTTTAATTATTTTTAGTTAGAGGAAAAATTTTTGAATATGTGTTCAAAAAAATATAGTCACATGCTATATTGAAAAAAAAAAATTATTACATGTCAAGTTTTTTTATATGATTACAAGAAATGTAACAAATAAAATAATTTAAAAGTTAACTATCTAAATTAAAGGATTTGGGACAATATCTTTTTATCCGAATCCATTTCATCTCATGTTGAATAATTTTTTAATATATCTTCATTTTCATATCAATTTTTTTTTATTTTAAACTTTATATCTCTATGATGAAAGTATTTAATTCTAAGAGTTTATACCCTAATGGAATATAAAAATAAAGAACAAGTTACACGCTATATTTAAAAGTTATTATTTGTCATGTTCAAAAAAATATTATTTTAAGGTTTATATTGTAGTGAAATACAAAGAGACATTGCAAATCTAAACAGATATTACACATTTTAGTAGAAAATGTTACACACCAAACTTCAGTTGTTACACATCAAACTTTAACAAATGTTACATAACAAAGTCAAAGCTTCAACATCAAATGTTACATGTTAAAGTTTCTTTTTTTTTTCTATTGATGTTATATGAATCACTTTGTTACATGTCAAGGTATATTTTACAAAACTTAAATCATTGAAAAACTCAACACCAATAAATCAAAAAATTTGTTATTACTCATTAAATCATGTTTTGGGGTTTGTAGATCTACAATGATATAAGGAGATGATGAAAAATAGACAGAGAGAAGTTTTATGAATTTAAACCAATAAATTCAAAAGTATACTGTTATCTTTTATATCATGCTCTTTAGTCTATAAACAATATAACGAGATGATGAGAAATAGATAAAGAGAAGGTGATGGTGGTGAAATTAAAAAGAGTTGGATGGTAAGAGAGAAAAATGAGAAGTACAACAGAATGGAGCATAACAAACAAATGACAAGAGAAAAAAATTAGAAGCATTTAATTTGTTTAAAATAATTTTAAGAGTATTTTTATCATCTCATAATTAAAATCAAATAAAAATAATTAACTTTTTATTGAGTGTTATTTTTGAAATAGACTTACAAGAATGACTATATGTCATAATTTTGTTAAGAATTAATTTATTTATTATCGTATTTATTATCCGAAGAAGAAGAATAGGTTAGGAATTGCTGAATGAGCGGCTGTTGAACTGGTAGAGAAGGTGAGGGTCGATGGAATATGTCTTCCAGTGGCCTATAAAACATATACATGTACTACATATTCCACGGTTAATAAATTAGTATGCATTAGCCATTAGATCAACAGTTTAATATAATAACATGGAAAAGGAATATATACATAAAAAAATTACAACAGATGAGGAATGAAGAAAGATATGGAGGAGAGTTGGATACAGCAAGGCACGTACCTTTGGACCCATTAAAAAGTAGTATATTGATGTCAAATGAAAGATGGAAAAATGGAAATAAAGTTCTTTGTATTTCATTGGAAATTCCCCCTTTCTACTGTTTTTGCAGTCCTTTTTTTTTTGCCCACTTGCACCTTTTTCTATTTTTTTTTGTTATTTCCTTTTCTTGTTTAGTTATCAGTACATTCTAAGTATAATCTTCAACAGTCGTACAAGGGTTTTTTCTTACCTTTTGTTTCTCTACAGCCCGTTGGGGTGTGTTGTAGTTTTTTATTGTTACCATTATCATTAACTCTAATTTTCAAAACCTCAAACAGTGATAACTTTCTCGTTAAGGGTATCTTTGTTGGGGAATCTAAGGTGAGTTGGCTGTGGAAATCTATTGAGTTTCTGATAGAAAAGAGAGAAGAAAACCTATTGATTGGAGTTGTTTTAGAGAATTGATGTGATTGCTTCACTCCATAAATATTTTTGTCAGCCAACGGCTCTTTCTCACTTTGTCTCCCCTTTTCCCAGTGTATTTTGGCTTTTTAGGTGCTGATTCTAGCCTGGGTTCTTTCCTTTTTATCTCTCTGGGGTTGGCTGTGCTTTGTTTGGGGCTGTTATTCCGTGTCTCAGTCAGGGCCAAATAAGATGGAGGGTGAAAACAATGCTACAGGGTTTGGTGACACGACTTACACCAAGATCTTTGTTGGAGGTTTGGCTTGGGAGACTAAAAGAGATGCCCTGAGACGTTATTTTGAGCAGTTTGGAGAGATTCTAGAAGCTGTTGTTATTAATGATAAAACTACAGGAAGATCAAAAGGTTATGGCTTTGTAAGAACACGTCCCCTCTTTCTCTCCGTTCCTCCTCCTGGATTATCCAGGCTCTTGCTTTTTGTTATTTTTTTTGTTTCTTTTTTGGTATTTTTATCTTTGTTTTGATTATGGTCTTCTAGGTGACGTTTAAGGATGCTGATTCGGCGATGAGGGCTTGCCATAATCCATTTCCTGTGATTGATGGAAGGAGAGCAAACTGTAATCTTGCATCTCTTGGTGCTCAAAAGAATCGTCCAACTTCTGCCTCTCAGCATGGTATGTAAACTCTTCAATTTTTCAACCCCTGGCCTTCAAAACATACAATCTATATGGCAGTTGCTATTGCGGGTGATTGTTTCATTTGAATTTTTTTCTTCTTCTCCCTCTCTCCTTGCCTTTACATTCGCTTTGTTAGTTTGTACGGTTTGCTAACAAAGTTACAGGAATGGAGAAATTTAGCCCACCACCTCGAGTCATGGCACCACCCAGTACTGGTACCCCGGCTGTTTACCGACAAATCATCCCGCAATATGCATTTCCTTATTCGGCTTACGGGTAGATCAGATTCAAATTCTCTGCATATAGCTAATATTTGAAAACTGAAATTAAAGTTTTCAATTTGTAGTTTAATGTTCTAAATGCTTGCCCTTTAACATTCAGGTATCCTGGCTACACACAGGACATTTATTTAATGGTTAGTGTCTTATTCTATCTAAATTCTGCGTCTATCTGAGTCATACTTTAGAGCTTAGACCAGTCAATGAAACTTCCAGTTCAGAATTTGTGGTATTCAACTGAAAATAGAATGCGTTTTTGCCGACGTGGTTAATTATTGCAACTTTTAACTATGAAATCCTTGATGTTCATGTTTAATCATTACTAATGTGTAAAACAATAGGATACTTTGATGTGAGATGAGTTGTTTTTCCAGAACTATTACAATGCATACGGAGGGCAACAGCTCCCATCCCATTTCACCACAGGTTCATCAGGATCCCATGGAGTCTACTTAAGTTACTTCCCACTCTATCACCAGCAAGGACACAGCAGCCCAACTCAGTATCCCAAGATCAGTCACTATCCTTACCCGTCTCCGCCATACCGTGCATATGGGACCTTAACACTTCCTCCAGCTGCCTCTCCATCACCGCTCGCCGCCAGCGGTTGAGTATCTAAAAGTTTACCGTTCTTTTATTTGCACTATTTGAGTTGATGGGGGGAATAGATCTTATTTTAACAGGCTTCCTTTACAATGCAGCTGCACCAGCCACAGCAGAAGCTGCCGGTATGCCTGGAACTGCCTCTGCACAGAACTCGTCAGCGTAATGCCAGCGCCAGTAGAAATGTGGAAAGGATACAAACAAAGAAGTCAACTGAATATACTCTCCTATAGGCAGAAAAAAAAGGAAAGAGGTTTTACATTTCTCCTTTTTTTTTTTTTTTTTTCACAAAAACACACCTCAATCATATATGGCAAAGACCCAGGGAAGAATTCAAGACTAAATGACAGAATACGTTTTTGGCTTTTTTAGCTTTGCTATTTGGATTATAGTGTATTCTTTTTGACAGGCAACAATTTACACACTTTTTTTCTACCCCTTTTAGGAATACACTTTTGTTTAAATTCATGTATCAAATGATCCTACACTGTTTCTTTTAGCCAAACCATATATGTTCCCATTATTGATCATGAATATTCATAAGATTTTCAGTTGTTTTTTTCTTGTCTAGAAAGCAATACTTGGTCTGAATTATGAAAGAGAGAGAGAGAGAAAAAGCTTTGGGGTTGCTTGGCTTGTCAGTTCATCATAGTTTTCCTTCGTTTTGCAGTTTATTATGGAGTCACTGTCTCCCTGTCGTATGTCTAAAAGTGAAAAGTATATTTCACCTTTCACATTCCTAGGGCGTTTTTATCTTTCCACTGTCTTATCTTTTGCATATTCACCTTCCGGGATTCATGAATTATGTCGGGAATCCGAGAAAATGCCCACACAAAACTAAACAATCATCGACTGTCTCGGTTCCTTGGTCCAAATTCACGCACATGATTGTGCATATATAAATTTGTTTCTAATAATTCTTCAAATGCTGCGTGAGAGAAGGACCATTAGATAGCGAATCCCATTAGGGGAAGGAAGGAGGATGATTGGTCCACCCTCCACCAGCTAAAGGCAAATACCAACTTTTTCAGATAAGCTTGTGGCTGGCTGCTCGGTAGGTTCCTAAACCCACAGTATGAATGCTGTCATGGCCAGCTTAACTAATTTTTGTGGTTGAAACTAATCACTTAGCGAAAGTTCAATTTCAGACATAAACAGATATCCAACGAAAATTTTGTTGGTACTTGTACCATTGCTCTGACAAAAGTGTCTTTCGGAACGCCCTTTTAAAGACCAATCTCAACGCCACACTAGGGTAGACCCCATACGTTTGCAGCTTGGCGCCATCGCTATATTTCTTCCACATCCGTAGAAAGAATCTCATTGTAACCATCTGATCAACGTCTACTTTTGACCATTTTGGTTGTCGATTTATGTAGATTAGTAAAATTTTAGCACCTTGACAATAGCTAAACCTACATGTCTATGAAGATGGACCAGAGATGCGTCTGCAACTATTAATATTTAAATGTTCAGGTATACTATAATCCTTGTTGCCAATGCATTGGCTGAGTCTTAGCATTGAACCTGGAGGAAAGTTAGGAAATACAAGAAATTGCCACACCAACCATTTAAATATTCAACTATTGACCATTTCTCAGATATTTTAGTCAGTTACTACCTTGAGAAAACTGGAAATATGATGTTACTAGTATTTCATATTTCACTTTAAATCAGGAAATCTAAAAAAGAAAATGGGATCATAAGATCAATTTTTTGGGAAAATGTACATAGATTCCACTTTGAAGTTTAAACCTACCCATCCAACTCCGCTGTTAGAAACTCAAACCAAGGGGGAATACACAGGTCGGACAATCAAGCAATCCATAACACATAAAAGGCATCTGACATTGCAATTATCGAATCCTCGCAGAAAACAAATCAAATAGAACACTGGAAATAGTTTACTTAAAATTATCAGTTGTTAGATACGCCTGAGCAATCTGTCTTTAGGGATCACCCATATGTAACATAAATTAACATTCATGTCCTCGGTCCCATCCACAATTAAATTCTACAGGCTAAAGAAGGCAACCACAATTAAAACCCCTATAAGTAACAAAGATACCGAGCTAAGACGCAGGGACAAAATGATAAACATTAACACCAAAAGTACCTCGATTGTACTGCTGTATCTATGTTTGTATAAGTAAATATATATATATTGGCAGTTGATCAGTCCATGAGAAAGAAACATGCAAAAAGATGATTCAGTGCATTGCAGGGCGAAGAGCACGGGGCCGAACAGGTGTCTTTGATGGGCTTACCCTGCATATGCAAAATAAATCCCATAAAATTAGGGGACAAAATGAATTTTACAACCCATAAAATGCAAGAAATCAGCCCAATCAGAAAAATCTCATAAACCAACCTTATGGGCAGTGACCCCAAAACTGCACCACTGCAGTTGAGGGCTGCAATCGCACTCTCTGCCTGCAAGAGTGAAATATAAAACATAAAGATCATCTTTGCATACAGCATCCAAGCACATTTACTGGTTTACACATAAAGCCAAAATTATAAGAAACTCCAGCAAACAAGTTGCAGCACAGTCATTTAACAACAATTACAAGGGAAATTTACAAACATATTCTCTGCAGCAACATACAAACACATTTTGGCAGTTCCATTCAGTGAGAAATATTCGCAAAATTATTCCAGCTAAACAGCTACAGCAGATTTGGAGCCAACCATGCCAAAAGCTTTGGTTATTAATAGGGTGGAAAGGAGAGAGGTAAACTGATAATGTAACAGCTTAGATCCCAGTTCAACTATGCTCCTTTAAACATGCAGCATACTAGAAACAACACTCAGAAATCACCTAGTAGATTAAATCACATATAAAACAAGAGTTATCATGCACTTATCTTCACACTTTGCTCAACTACAGAAACAAAAAATCTCAACTGTTAGAAAAAAGTATGAAATCACCAAAGACAAATGAGGAAAGTGCATTAAGTTGTCTTCAAAATTCCCAGCAACAGATAAAATGATTCATCTTGTGAAACTACAATGCAATTCCTCAGGTAAAGAAAAAGTCGAGTATGATGCAATAAATGGCTGCATGGTACTGAATACTAAACTAGACAAGTCTAAAGCTGAGACTGCTCTCCAGCAAATGGATAATCAGTCAGTCCAGTTGCCAGAAAAAACCTGCTAACTGCAGTAAACATCATTCTGCAACACATTAAATCCTATATCCATCAGTCAATAGCAGGTACAGAAAGATTTCATTGAGCTTGGTTAACTGTCCTTCAACACATGCTTCCACTAAACATGATTTCATTGAGACAAAGGCTCCTCATTTCACCATCCTACAATCAACAATTCATGGACCAGCAGGCACAATCATAACAAGTCTTAACAGTCTTGCACCAACGGCTGTGAAGGCCCTAAGAAAGACCATAACTTTGAAAAAACACATTTCAAGAACTTCCCCATTCATCAGTCTAAGATGATCTGTAGTGAGAGAAGGGGCCAATGGGAAGATCTGGACTACTACTATAGAACCAATCATTTTCACAACTCAATTCTCATAATTCAACTCCCACAGTCCAATTTTACAATGTATTTCCTATATAATTCACATCCCAAAAACCATTTCAAGTAACACAATCAAGCAGCAACTGAAAAGGAGGAATGATGCCAAAACAAAAAAGAGGAGAAACTAGGTGACCCCTCCTGAAGAGGTTTTAGCACCATCGCCACTTTACTTCATCCACTGAAAATTTAAGATCAATGAAAAGACAGTACTAAGGCTTGGAATACCAGAGAAAGCATGATGGTAAAATATTCTTGTAAACAAGTAGCTAAATAATGTTGAAAGGAAATAGACCATGTCATTTTTCATCTTGGAATAAATAAGCTTCAAGGTTATACTACATTACAGAATGTTCTTGATTTGAGAAAGAACAATACAGGGAATGAAATCTAATACCATATAAACAGATTTTGCAACAGTTTCGGTAAATAAAGATAGCAAGAGAGTAAATACCATTGCGAACTCCACAAAAGCTATACGAGTTGAATGATGATAATCTCCCAGTAGCCTCAAGCGATGAACCTACCGCAAAGGAAAAATGTTCAGTAAGATATCATCAAATTTAACAAATATTAGACAAGCAGCATTTATAAGGTAGGTTACATGAGAAACTACAAACCTCCCCACAAACTGATTCAAAGAAGAGCTTGACATCAGCTTGAGTAACCTGTATCAATTGAACAACAAGCAAGAAATTATTGCTCTGGTTGTTGATCACACTGGCATTTAAGAAAAATAGCGGACAGAGTAACAACCTTCTTGTCTATGTTTGTACAATAAATAGTCCTTGTGCACATCTCGCGCTCATCCTCAGACTGAAGAGCGTAAAACATTTGAAGCCAAGTAATTAAAAATAAAACCAGATATCAATGACTCTGGTCAATTTCTATAACTTAGACACAACTGGGAACAAAGATCATTCATCATATATATGCTTTACCCTCGGTAAAAAAGTCGGGTTAACAGGTGCAATTGCAGTCTTGGAAGGCAGCACTCTTACAGGGTAAAAACCAAGCATGGTCCCAGACAAATTCAAAGCAACCCTTGCATCCTCTACAAGAACATTAAATCGTCAATGCTGTGAAATGAGGACATATATCAATGCTTACTAAATGCATAAGACTCCCATAATACCTTCTTTATAAAACTCGACGAAGGCAAAGCGGAGAACAGAGTTAGGATCACCACATATACGACAATCAACAACCTTTTGGCCAAAATAACAGGAAATTGTTTAGGAGAATAATCCAACACTACTAGGTTGTAATCATAAATTGAAAATTTCGTAAAAAATAGGAGAAAAAACAAGAAGTACCGGTCCACAGCTTAGGAAGAGACCTGCAAGATGCTCCTCAGTAACCTATAGAATAAACATAATAAAACAGTATGATATCAGTCCACAAACAAAGTTAAACAAAGGCAAAAACCATTAGGTGTGAAACTACGTCACCTGCAGATCAATATCAGATACATAAACGGTCTTCCTAATTGCATCCTCTCGCTGTGCCATACTCGTTCTATTATTCAACCTTCTCTTCCCTTGGCTAAAGTTATTTCTCTTCTGAGTAAAAAAGAAACGAGAAAATCAACAAAAGCAACCAATACAGAATTGTTATAGAATAGCCAAAGAAGAAATGAAAGGAACATACCCTTCTATTAGTATGTCCATTGACGTCGCCGGCTACAAAATTGTCAGTATCATATCCAAACCCATTTTCCAAAAAGGGATTAGTTTGATTTTGGTTTTGATCATGGTTATCATTAAAATTATGATGACGCGGATGATTGGCAAGGGATGGAGGTACAAATTCCTCAGCCAAGGGGTTAAGCTTAGACAAAATCTCTACCAAATCCCTCATATCATTCTTGAAAATTTCACCATTATCCCCATTTTCCAGATTGCTAAACCTATTAAACCCAGCAGTCTTTGCCCCCACCTGATGCTGATTCTTCTCACTAAACCCTTTCTGCATCTGAGTATTGCTATCGCCATTGCTGTTGACTGCTGCTGCTGGTTGTTCTTGTTGAAAGTTGGCTTCCTTAGTAGTCTTAGCAGCGGTCACGGAATCAGTCCTAGTTTTTGATTTATCTGGATCGTTTACCGCATTGGAATCAGATGATACTACGGTGTTTTCCAAATTTTGACCTGATGACCCGATTTTTGCCCCAGCATTCTCAGCAACCGCCATGATCAAATGGAAGCTCCCGCTATCAAAAAATGGTCTTTTTCAGATTCCTCTGTAAACAAACAAACAAACAACCAAAATCTCATCTTTACTATCCTACCTTATTAAATGATCCGAAAAACAAACACCCAGAAAAAAAAACCACTAAAGTTGTTGTAGTAGTTGTTAGAAGAGCAACGCACCTGCCTTATCTAAATGGTTTCCATCGATGTAAAAGCCAAACCCACCTCAAAGATCGTCACTTTATGTAATATGGATTTTAAAAGGAAAAAGAAAAAGGGCTCTGAAAATTGATGGAGGAAATGGGTAGAACAGAGGACAACTTTTTATTTTCCTTTTATTTTTGGCTTCTCTCTATATTTTTATACTATAATATTATTATATATTGGTTAGAGTGATGATCCTGTAGGTGGAAAAAGGACGCCTTGGAGAGAGAAAGGTGATGAAAGAGAGAGAGAGAGAGAGAGAGAGCGATATAGAAAAAGAGGAAAATGGTTTGGTCGTTGTATTCTTTGGATCGTTCGTTTGTGCTGTGCACTGCCTTCTTGGACCTTCTTCACAACGTCCCAAAATTTTATGATGATTAACGTCGTCAATTTTACAGGCCCATTTTCAGATTATTATATATCTTCTCATATTTCTAATATTCTTCTTTCCTTCTGTATTTTCTTTCTTCCATATTTCCATAAATACCCATCTATGTTTAACACTCATGCATGTGTCATGTGTCGATCTCACTCCATCCATACCATCCATGTTCGCTTGTTTTTTTGGTAAGTAACCAAAATTTTGATTTTTCGTCATCACATGCCATTTTCTGGCCTTAATAAATAGAATTCATATGCTATGTTCTCATCACATTACGCAAAAGTATTGGTTTGCCGGTCGAGGGGAGGAAGAAAGAAACAAAAAATTAATTACAATAATCGTATTTAACTTATGGACTATGATAATAAGCCTATTTAACTTAACTTTATTGTTCCTATTTTGTTTATTTCAAAATCAAAATTTGAATTGCAATTTATCCTGTTTATTCTATAATATAAGGTTTAAATCTGATATTGCTTATTTACTTTTATATTATCTCAATTTTAAAAAAAATCATATCAAAATTATGCATAATATTTTGTTTTATTCATGCATTAGTAGTTTACTTTATCAGAATTATGAGTCATTGCTTTACCAAATACTAATTCTTTTTTATGTATACCTTATATAAAAAAATTATAATTACGGGAAAATGTAAGGTTATTTTGTAGTCATTTGGAGTTTGAACAATGAAAAATACTTATGTTTCATCAAAAGTAAAATGCATCCTAAATTTAGTTTTCCCTACTTGCCCCTAACAAATCATTCATGTTAAAATTGATAGATGAAAACCTTATTTAAATAATCAAAGTAGCAAAATAATTTCAAAAATTAATAGATGAAAGCCGTAATTTGTAGTATAATAAATTACATATTAAATAAAAAACAGTGAATGTGAATATTAAAATTTTAAAATTTATCCATTGATTAAGAATTTTTATCTTTTTTATAAAAATAATTATGAAAAGTTTATTTGAGTTCTTAGTAGAGAAACGATTACAAAATATTATAGGATTTATAGGGAATTCAGATAATTATATAAACTAATTTGACGAGATATGCTCTAAACGAAGCAAGCATGTCCAAGATGATGATGATGATGACGACGACGAAGAAATGATAGGATGCGGACTCGTATTTTCTCCGCAATGTGATAGATTTCAATCTGATGGTGACACGTGTTGAAGGCATCTGGTTGTGAATCGATAGAGTTACAGACACCGTCATTATCCACTGCGGTGACAGACATCAGGTTTTTTTCTTGAGAAGGGCATCAATGTGACGACCAATGGTCCCTCGTCACACTCGTGCTGATGTACGAAAAATGCCAAAAAAATAAATAAAAAATCGCTTAACTTTAGATGCCCACGTGTTCCTCCCGGTCGGTGAGGACGAGATTGCTTCCATAGGGTTGTAGATTACAAACGACGCCGTATTGAAATTCTAGAATGTTCATCTCCAAGTCAAAGATTGTGTTTACGTTAGCACGTAACAGCCTCTCTCTCGCCGGAGTAAATAAAAAAACTATAATAAAAAATTAAATACAAAAAATGAGTTTCAATCACATGTGCGATATGGATTTCACAATAGCAAAAGTCAAAAATTTATCATGTTCTGAAACTTATCTTAAAAAACATTATACTTAGTCAAATTCTTTTGAGTGAAATAAGAAAATGTAAATCAGGAGAATTAAACAAATAAACTAGGATTTTTAGGATTAGAAATGGAAGGTGGATTATATATGCCAAAATTTCTGGCCCTTGTTTCTTTGATCAATGCTTTCCTTAAACTGCATGTAAAGAGAAAGATTAAACTTCTAATCTGAACATGTTTTGCTGGGTATAAAACAAAGGTTGGTGTAACAAGCAACGTGAAAAGAGGTTGTGGGGTATTGGCAGTGGAGTGGACCCCATTTTTTATTGACAAAGATCAATGGAAGCTGTGTGTTTCAGCCGTTGATTTTGTTGTAGGACCACCCAAAGCAAGGGGCCATTTTTGGACCCATTTAATTACCCATAAAACTCAGGCAAATGGTCCCCTCGCTGCCACTCAGATAACACTTTATTTCCTTTTTATTTTTTAAGTTCGTCGGTGGGACGCAAGAAAACGACTTTGATGGCCTGTTTTCCCGTCGAGGTACAATGCGTGAATAATTACAGTGTTCGCTTTCGTTACATTTTGTCCTACTTAGTCTTATGATCTTGTAAACAGTCCTAGTTCTTAAAAACAGTGGTTCATAATTTCTTTAAATCAAATTGGATTATAATCAGATAATATATAGTAAAATAATCTAATCCGAATCTGCATGACTTTAATCTAAAAGGGAAATGTTTTTAACATCGAACTTAAAACAATGGGATACTCAAAAATAGTTCAAAATTTATAATAACTCGAATATGAATGAATTCAAAATTTTAATTAATTCAATTTATTTAAATGATGTATAATCTAATTCTAAAATGTAAAACTTATTGAATGTAAATGCGAAAAGATCAAAAGAAAAATTATACATATGTATATGTGTGGGTAAAAATATTTACTTAATTGTGAAAGAAAGACAACTGATTATTGTTAAGATAATTGAAATTCATGTAAATTACCATATTTGTACAATTTTTTATGTTTTCTTTTAATTATATACTAAAATTTACAAATTTATTTTAGTTTTACTTCATTCTTTGCATAACTAAAGATTAACTCTTATAGCATAAAATTGATTTGATATTTATTTATTTATTTACTTATTGTTAAATGAAAGGTTTTTTTATGTAAATAAAAGAATTGATGTTATATATAATTGATAATACTATATCTTTTAATTGTATTTTTTTTATCAATTATAAATATATATATATATATATCAAAAGACTTAAAATAATCTGAGATTCAAAATGAAGTAATTTGAACTTGATTTGATCCAAGTCAAAATGATCTAAAATTTTGATGAGCTAAAACTCACAATCCAAAATGACTCAACCCACTTTATTGCAACTTATAGCTTTAAGGCCCCTTTAAAATGGTGAGGTAGGGTTTTATACCAATAAGTTTTTATTTATTTATTATTATTATTAGATCTAGATTTAAATTTAATACATGACTCCACTATATATAGAAAATGAGCTATACCTACCATTGAGACAAGATGTCAACATTAATGCAATTAGTTTTATAAAAAGCTTTTACTAACCGGATCTAAAGATTGAAAACCCAAAGAACGACACAAAGTGGCAGCACAATTTCCACATGTTTCATTGATATCATTGTGACTCTCTATCAGACAAAACTGTTGGCTTCCATTTTAGATTTTTTTTTTAGTGAAAATTCAACGAAGCATGTGCTCACTATGCTTTGTGTGATTTTTAAATGTCATACTCAATTTTTTTCTCTGTTGTCAAGAACAGTGAAGAACATGTTGTATTATAAACAAATGGACCATTTTAATAAATTATTTTAAAAAATAATCTCTTTTATAATTTTAATTATTTTTAATTAAATTAAATAAAATTATTTTGAATAAAATTATACGTCATGATATTACATATCATATACAGAACCATGTTACATTCCATGGTTAGGTTGTAATACGCCTTGTAAAAAAACACAACATGCCATAATTAAGTTGTTACACCTCATATTAAAAAAAAATACTATTGTTACACGTCATGTACAAAAATATGTTACACGTTAAGATTAAAAAAGGTTGTTACACGCTATATTGAAAAAGAAAATACTGTTATTACACACCATGTTGAAAAAATATTGTTATTATACGTCATATTTAAAAATATTTTATTACACTTTAATGCCTAAATTGTTATTGTTACTTACAAATTAAAATTTCAAATCTTCTCAACTCTTTTTTTTTTTGTTTTTTTGACAATTTGACATTGATTAAAGTATTTCTAATATGTTTTTATAAATTAAAATACAAAATTTTTTATCTAAAACACCTATTTTGATTAAAAATCGTAAAAAAATTTTATTGAAAATTTTAGATTTATAATTTTAAAATTTTAAGTTTAGTAATGTCTAAATCTCAAATTGATCCAATCAAAAATTACTTCAAATGATATTTTTACTGTTTAGTTTTATCAAAATATCTAAAAATTAAATTCTCTAAAAATCCATTCACTCAAGCACATCAAAATTATCGTTTAATGTCTTGTTCTGAAAAGAGAAATCTAAAAACGAGAATGAGAGAAATCGAGAGCATAGTTAATGAACGTCGAAAAGAAAAATCGATAAAATTAAAAAAAGTAAAATGTTGAGAGAAAGAAATCAAAAAGATTAATGAAGAGAAATTGTGATGAATGGTTTAATTTTTTAAAATAATTTTAATTTTTTTATCTAATTATGACTAAATATAATTAAAAATAATTAAATTTATTTTGATAATTATTTTTAAAATATCTTACGAACAAAAGTTATTCTTCCTAATTTCCTCTAAACAAATTGATTGTGGTGTACTTGAACGTGATTAAAAAGAAATAGAAGGGAAATAACACAAGTCAATACATTATTTCTTCCATTCAAAAGCCAAGCTCAAGATCTCTCGTTTGAATGTTGAATTTCAGCCTGGATTATTGATAACTGTTGACACATTCTTCTGACCCGTCGTGCACGCCGCCTGGAATCTTTGAAGGGGGTTCAACATACACGAATACGTCGACCTTCTTCCAAAGATCCTCAGGGTTTCGAGACTCACGAAAACCCAATTTCTTTCCATCAGGGAACCCTTTTTTGGGTTAAAGCAGAAGGAAGGGGAAAACAAAAGATTGTTTAGGAGCTAAGTTTTACACCAACTTCACGATGGTAAGTAGATGACCATGATTTGTTCGTTGGATTGAGTCCACACTCGGTGGGTAGTTGACTGACTCCGACGCAAAAACTTCGCTCAGAGGGGATGTTTCTGTTATGTGTTAACCAATCCAAGCTAAACTGCTGTGGGCGGAGCTGTGCAAATTGTTTGAATT